CGCGGCTTCGAGTCCCAGCCGCGCCTGCGCGCTGCGGTGTCTGTGCGGGGCGAGCGCCGGCCCTGACATGGCGTCCTTCCCGCCAGAGACCAAGGTGTACGTGGGGAACCTGGGCACAGGCGCGGGCAAAGGCGAGCTGGAGAGAGCCTTCAGCTACTACGGGCCCCTGAGAACCGTGTGGATCGCGAGGAACCCGCCGGGGTTTGCCTTCGTGGAGTTTGAAGACCCGAGGGACGCTGAAGATGCTGTCCGTGGACTTGATGGGAAGTACGTGTGCATTTCAGATGTTTGCAGGAGCTACAGCCAGTTTTAAGGCCAGAGAGAGAATCGGGATAGTCTATCTGGTTCTTCTCCTTTTTTGTAGTTCTGCCATAAACAGTAACGATTAACTTTGAGCCATCATGGACTTGTTGCAGGGTGATATGTGGCTCCAGGGTTAGAGTGGAAGTGTCAACAGGGATGCCTCGTCGCTCCCGTTACGACAGGCCTCCTGCACGGCGCCCCTTTGACCCTAATGACAGATGCTATGAGTGTGGTGAGAAAGGCCACTATGCTTATGATTGTCACCGCTATAGTCGCCGAAGGAGGAGCAGGTATGTGTGGGCCCAGAGTGGCTGGGTTGCTTCGCCAGTTAGCTTTTGTGTAGCTCTTGTTAGCAAAGAACAGAATGTTACACCAGTTTTCTTTAAACTTTAAAAGTAGAATAAATGTATAGGTATATATTACAATTTGTTGCTATTTCTATCAAATGTTAATATCTTAATAATCAACCTGGTCAAAACCTTTCAGGTTTCTTCGTTTGAGTCAGTCGCCTTGATTCAGAATGTCACGAGCCTTAAGATTTCATGCTGAGGCGCCTTGCAAATCCGACACTTAAGATCCTCCTAGACCTTGAGGTGATCAGCATAAGAGGCCAGATCCCCTCGAGCCATCTACACGTAGCTTCACCTTATTCTTTAAGGGCAGAAAATTTGAGACGGTGATCGCCGTAACAGTAAATTTGGCTTTCAATTGGGGCCCCCCTCCGGTTTAGAAAGAGGAACACCAGATTGACCACATTCCCACCTAGAAAAATCTTCTTGCGTCAATCAAGCCTCACCCTGGCTCATTGGGCTGTCAGTTTGATCGTCGTTAGATTGAAGAGAACACCTAGATGCAGCGATCGGCTATAGATACTTCTAGATCGTCTAGATCTGCTAGACCTTGGGCCAAAGAGGGTCGACCTGCAAACTTGCAAGGTTTATTTTAAATACGCATTACAGTGTTTTCTATTCTAATGTAATTCTGCAATGTAATTCAGCTTTTAACATTTTTTAGGTAGTAAAATGCTCAAGACAAGTAGGCCCAGAGATTTTTCCAACTGACAGATGCTAGTTCTTTAGTTGTCTGAAATCAGTTTTGACTTCAGCAGGGTCTCACGTGCACTGATTGCTGCAGCTGTTTCCTGATACCTGTTTTCTCTAACCTAAAACCAGGTCCCGGTCTAGATCCCGTTCAAGGTCCCGAGGAAGAAGGTATTCTCGGTCACGCAGTCGGAGTCGTGGTAGGAGGTGTGCTTACGTTTGCCTTTTACTCCTATTTGCTTCTTTTGTTTTAAAAAAGTTACACTTGTACAACTCTTTAATTGACTTCTTTGCAGGTCCAGGTCAGCTTCTTATCGTAGGTCCCGGTCCGTTTCTCCTCGTAGATCGAGGTCTGTGTCTCCCCGCCGGTCCCGATCGGGTTCCTTGAAGAGATCAAGGTACTTAGTAGTAATTTTTAATAGGTTGTGTGCTTTGTTTTTGTTGTTTGTTTTAGTTAAGGAATACAAAAAGGTATTGGATAGCAGATTTCAAAAGTTGTTGACCTCTGAAAATGCGACTTAGCATGCTTTAAAAAGTTTCTCATAATTCTAGTTGAATTTACAGGCACGGTAATGTGATTAGTTTTGAGACCTTACACAGCTGCATATCCCATGATGAATTTTGATGTCTAAAATATCTATTGATCATGTAGGTTTTAAGTTCAACATGTAGACATTAATCTAAATAGTGCTGTAATTGTCATCACTTCTGGTAGAGTTGACTTTTGTTATTTTGCTTTAATTTGTCTTAATTTTTTATTTCAGGTCTAGATCAAGATCCAGATCTAGATCCAGATCTGTTACATGGCCCCGAAGCAGGTAAGATCTCTACTGTGACTGTGGATACTTAGTAAAAGTTGCTTAAAAGTCTGTTTAGGCTTTCTAACAGCTCCTAACATTTTCAGAAAAAGCTGTGTTTTCTCTCCACTAACTTAGGGGTCTGTAGTTTTAAAAAGCACCGCAGAAGATTGTTCTTTCTCTTATTACTGTTTCACATGTTGCTGATACCCAGTTCCTGATAATCGTCAGAAGTACTGTTTTGGTCAGCTTGCATTAACAGCTAGCACAGCAAACAAATTAATCCGAAAAGTTTTTTTTCTTGTGTAGCATGAGATTGCAGATTCTTCCTGTTATTTGTCAGAGAGATCAGGATGCACTTCCAGTAGTGTGTTGAAGCATTAATTCGTATAGCCAAGCAAGTCCTGAAGGGCATGCTAGTGCTGTGAGTCTTACAGCTGTTTCTAGCTCTGTTGAATAACAAAGTGTCTGTCTGCAGGAGGTGAATTGAATTTGAGATAAATATGTCAGAATTATTTTGTACCAACAAATGTGCCATAAGAGTGACGGATCAAATTCTAAAGGAACACAGGATGTCATTCGTTCTCTTAAGTTGTAGTTTAATCCTTCCATAGTAAGTGAATGCAGCTTGTGCTTTGTGCAACCTTGTCCAGGCAGCAAGGCTGATAGATGTTGGTGTCCTCGGCGATGCTGTCATAGGAGAACAAGTAAATTGAAGTTCTGCTCTGAAGGAGATGGTACTGCTCTTGCCCAAACCCATTCTCGGGCCTACTGTTCTGGTTTGATGGCTGCTTTTTGAAATAAATTATATAATATTCATATATGTAATGAAGAAACACAAAAAAATAAGGGGAAGCTTCAGCTGAAGGGAGTAAGTGGAAAAGCCTACAGCTGAAGATGGGAGATTCAGTGCTGAAGGGTGGTGGTATTTCATGAGAGTGGAACAGCAAGCAATGATGGGATTTTTTAGGGAATGGAGAGATGAAGACCAGAAGATGGCTTAGTTAAGAGCAGAAACTCACACGAACAGTCCAGAAGCTAGTAAAAAGAGAAGGGAAATTCCCTGAGGCAGTAGAGTAATGCCTTGCACTGATGAGGTACACTTTCTTTACCTGTTGCTAAATATGTTGAGTCTTAGTACTGGTTGTTTCAATGTGACTTAATCATGGCTCATCACTGTTCTGTCAGTGATGAGCAGAAAACAGCTACAGTCAAAAGGTGCTCAAAGAGAAAAAGATCTTGATTTTACCACCATTGTTTTCTTTCTTTTTTTAGTACCAGGATAGTTTTCTGCAGTGTAAAGGATGCTTTTAGTGAAATTTCTAGACGGTTGTGTAACACCTTTCATTGTAAGTACAGATTAAATGACTGAGGCAGAGGAAATTAGACATACAAGTACAGTGAAGTGGGAAAATATTGGTGCTTAACCCTAATGAAGTCACTGTTAAACTTCCACATGAGGCAATTGAAAGATGATTTCTTTACAGAATAGAAGGAATGCATAGCACCCAGAGACAGGCTCTTGATTCGTAAGATGGGCTGAATAAGTATTACATGATGTTTGCTGGTTTGACAGTGTCAAAGCGCACATCTGGACATTGTTGTTGAAAGTAGAACACTTCCTTTGGGAACCTAAGAATGTCAGTTATTCCTTTAGGCAGTGTTAGTGTTCTTACGGCGCAGCAGTCTTATCTCAAAGACTGACATTTTTGACAGTCTTTTGACAAGGGTTAAGTTCAGACAGATTTAAAAAAATATTTTGAGTTAAGTGCATATATAAGATGAAGTGCACTGAGGAGAAGATACTTGTAGGAGCATGCTGCCTGCAGCCAGTTTCAACAATAGTGGTAGATGTCACTCAAAACCTAATAAAACTCGCAAGTTTGTACCATGGGTTATTATTAGCTTTGTTAAAGTACTGTTCAGGATTTGAGTTGTGCATGTATTCCTGCCACCCTCATCAGCAAACGCCAGTCTTCAGCCAGGGACCAAAGTACAGAGCAACATGTGCAGCATCCATTTAAAAAGCTTTCTTCTGAAACTTAGCAGGAAAAGTCCTGGAAACTTGCAGGATTCAGTCTGTTCAGCGTGACAGTTCTTATACATTTAGTGTGAATCTTGCTCTCTTGAATGTGGGAACACGCGTGCTACCAGTTTCCCTGCTGAGCTGTGTTCTGTCTTCTTGTAGGTCTAGGTCTCATGGCAGATCAAAATCTGGCTCGCCGGCTAAGAGGTAAGCATACAGAGAGAAAGCCTGGAATAGCATCTGGAATTGAGTGTTAGGTTTGCACAATTAACAGAGTCTGGTCCTTTAGAAAAAAATCCCCCAAACATGGGTGCCCAGCTAATCTGTTTGTGATAGGGCTGAGATTATAAAATATCCTCTGCAGCAATTTGGAATATGTTCCTTACCCATCTCTCTGTTTTCATTAACTCTTTGTAGTTTCCAACATTTTTTTTGTGTCTTTGTGCTTCGTTCTGTTAAATGTTTCTAT